CAGCAGCGCCAGCAGCGCGCGGCGCACCTGGGGGTCGGGGGGGGGGGGGGCGCGAGTTGCAACGAAGGCGGCTCGGTGAGGGTGGGTGCATGGGCCTGCGTGGCCTAAGGGGGCGCGAGCCATGGCACACAAGCAGGGACGGTGAGCAAGGGGGCCCTCAGACACGCGCGTGCCCTTGGGCACGCGCTGTGAGGATCGGCCGACGCCTGCAATGACTGGGGTGTACGGAGCTGCAATGCGCCGCACCATGAGCATGGCCGTGTGGGGCTTGCAAACTGTGCGCTCGCCCCAGCACTCCGTGTGCTGGTCACCGCAGAACGCAGCCTGCTGCGCCTTGGCCCACAGCTCCAAGATCAGGCGCAGGCCCAGGGACGGCCGAGACACTGCAAGCCGCGTCCAGGCTTGGCGCGCCCACGTGGGCACGCGCTCGTCCCCACCCTGCATGCAACGGGAGTCCAAAGCGCAAGTGCGTTCATGGTTGCATGTGTGTATTCGCATGACAACAGGGGCAGGGTTGGTGAGTATGTGCTGGCGCATGTGCAGTAAGAGCGGCCGCATGCTGCGTGTCCGTGGCCGAGCGGCGGGACTGACGGGAGCGGCAATATCGCGTCTTGATTTCCTCCAACCGTGTCAGGCTGCGCACCGGCCGGCGTCCCCGCGTGACGAGCGCGATGGCAGGTGCACCCACCTGCGCATCGACCAGCCGCCGCCGCAGGAGGTCCTCGAGCTCGCCCTCGCCCAGCGCCCCCGCGTGCCGCACCAGCCGCAGCGCGTCGCTGCCGCGGCCCGCCGCCAGGAGGCCGTCGAACAGGGCGGCTCCCAGGGGGCGGGGCCGGAGGCGGCCGAGGCGCGTGAGGAAGTGGCGGCGCCGGACCGGGGGCGCGGGGCCCAGCAGCCAGGCGAGGAGCTGGGCGGTCTGCTCCGGGTCGAGCGCCATCTGGCGGGGTTGGCGGGGGTGTGGAGCCGGTCAGGCGCTGCTCTTGTCGAGTAAAAGCTTGTGGCTGGGTGCCTTGGGGCAGCATGACTTGAGCTTGAGGCGGGCACGCCGGCGTTGCCCTCCATGCCGGCGGTACCAAGCACGATCCCTCACCTGACACACAAAAACGGCCGCCTGCCGCCACGTGCCGGTGTCCTGGGCCAGCAGCGCGCCCAGCACGATGTCCGTGCGACCCGCCAGCCTTGCCGCCAGCAGGCCGTGCGCGCGGAGCTGCGCATACGGCTGGGCTAGCAGGGCGCGAGCCAGCTGCTCGGCAGTGGCGGCGTCACCGTGGTGCACATGCTCGCGCACCTTTGCACGAGCGGCCTCCTGGGTGTTCGCATGTATGAGGTGGCCTATAAAAGCCGTATCAATGACGTTGCCTGGCTCTGAAGCCATCTCAGGGGTGGGTTGCTTGCGACGGCACGTAGATCAAGGTCCTGATGTCGGACGAGGGGGCTGGTCAGAAAAACGTAGAGCACGGCATAGATCAATGATGAAGCAGTTTGCGTATTTGCGATGAATGGACTCTAATGTGGCGGTACTTGAGCGCTGTGCAGCATGAGGCTTAGTAAGGGCACAGCTTCCAAGAACCTGTCTACCGTAGGTAAGCAAGGACCTGTCTGTCTACTCCCGCACATCCTCGCCTCAAGCACGGAAACATGGGAGACACGCCTTACACGTGACCATCGTAAGGCCGGAATAACTTGATCCCCCAGCTTATCTACCCGCCTGCGCGCGTAAATTGGGGGAAGTCCTTTGCGGACGAGGTTATTTTTACGAAAACTGCGGAGGCCAGTTGATTGCAGGGCTCTGGGCTTTGAGTTTGATGTGCCGCTGCGGGCCTTGCGGCCAGGTCACCGTTGGGGCTCCCTCGCAGTGTACCATAGCCAGTCGATGGTACTAGCGCTCACCCATGAATTCCCTGCAGGCCATGCATGCAAGGGAGTGCTGTGCTGGCACTTGATGGTACACAGGCACGGCAGGCCTGTTGCAAGCACGTTGCGGGGTACTTTGGTTGAGCATTGGTCCAAGACTTGTGTGAGCTGGCGGGGCAGCGAGGGCATGTTGTATCCTCCCGCTCCCATGCAAGGGGGGGCCTCAGCCACCGGCGATGGTAAGTTGATGTGCAGGGCTGTGGCGCAATTGCGTCGACCCGGGCCTGGCAGCCCTCCTGTACAGTATAGGAGGATAGGATATCATTTATTGTATCATAGGACGTGCTGGCCTGGTCCAACAGCGGGGCATGCCACACCCCCCCCCCTCCTCCTGCTCCTCTTCCTCCTTTTTTTCTTCCGCAACTTCCTCTCCTTCTCACGCGCTTGCCCCATTCCTTGTCGATGTTCCATGTCTGGGCGTAAACGTCCACCCAATTGTTTGTGCACATGCTTAAACCTTGATGCACGTGCACCTGTCCGGCCTTCGTCCCCCCCTTGGGCCCCTCCCCACCCACACATCCACACCAACGCACACGCGCACATACACACGCAATAAGAACAATCACAGATCCAATAACGCACACTTGCTGCGACAAATCGACACTCACCCTGGTGGACTGAAAGGAAAAGCAGTTCACCTGCTCGCACCCCTTGTTCATACCTGAGATACATGCGCAACAATTCTATGGGCTTTTGTAGTTTTGTGGGCTTCTGGGACTACAATGTTGTGTTCCTCAGAAGGCTAGAACAGCAATTTCTTCATGCGATTAATCGTCATGAGAGTTAAAGGTGACCCACACGCTCTGTTTATACCTGTACATTCACCATGGGGCACCAGCATACCACGGGTGATGCTGGAGTGTGCTATGTTTCCCAAGGGTTGACCGTCATGCCATGCTTGTGAACGAGTGAGAGCGCGTTTGGTGTGCCAAGTCAAAAAATTTTACTCTACTTTGTGACTACCTTGCTGAGAGTCCTGCATAAACAAACGATTGACCCGTTCACGTCCCCTCAGTTTCGGGATTGCCAGATCTCACGGCACAGGACCGAGCGAGGCTGGGCAAGGGGAAAGATCAACCAAAACCCATCATTGTAGCAGTCTCATCGCCATCAGTCACTAGGCTTCGCGGACCAAGTGCGAGATTATCGTGCGGGGGCTCGAATCACCGTGGGAGCAGTGCTAACATGAAGATTTATACTTGATGATGACATGCAGTGACGGAAGAGGGGCTGCTGAGTTGAACACATGAACCCAGAGCAGCGAGCAGGCCTCGGCAGCAGGCACAAAAGCACATCATCGCAGCCATACGGGTGGGCCGTCAAATGTAAGCATCACCTTGGACGTGGAGTACGTGCTACATGCCTGCCGGAGGTGCGCGGCATGGCATGGCGGCGCGGTGCCGCGAACGTGCTGGCAGCGTGGTGCAACGCAGTTCAAGGTTCGGCATGCACACCGCCTCTGCTGCGCTCTCCACGGCACTGCAAGCAACCACTACCGGGCGGTAGCGCGCTGGTGGTTGACACCTGCGACCCCACCCACACCCCACATCCCTGTCGTACCGTCAAATCAAATCTCCTTCGATGCAGGTCAAGCAGCATGTCTGGTCAGGGGCGGCTGATGCACTGCACATCATCGGCCCCACTGGCGTTGCAGAGCTCTCCACTGCGGCCTTGCAGCAAGCGCAGCAGCGGCAGCTGCGGCGACAGGAGCAGCAGCAGCACCATAACTATCCAGACGAGCGTCATCAATTGAAACAGCAGCAGCGAGATCAGGAGCAGGAGCAGGAGCAAGAGCAGCAGCAGGAGCAGCATCACGACTTGCGGCATGCTCCGGCTGGCCCTGGCAGTGCCGCTGCCAGTGGCAGCGGCCGCAGCAGGAGCGGCGGCAGCGGCAGCACCAGCAGCAGCAGCACCACCAGCAGCAGCACCAGGCTGCTGCCACCCGCTTTGGTGTCCGAAGCGCCTGCAGCAGCGTCCGGAGCTCCAGTTCCACCGCCCGCCGCCACCTTCAATGGCCACGGCACGCGGCTGCAAGCCGCACCTGCAGGGGCGCGAGGCCCTCCTGTCGACCAGTTCGTCCTGTCCGGGCAGATTTCGTCCTGCGCCTGCTGGCAAGACCTGGCCGCATTGGTGGCTGCACACCGGGATGACCTCAACACTGTCCACATCAGCGCGGCAGTCAGCAGGCTCGTGAGACTCCGGGAGCAGCGGGGGCGGGCGCGGGCCGAGGGGCGTCGGCGAGACGAGCGGCAACAGCAGCAGGACCAGGCAGGGGACTCGCGAGAAGCTGCGGGGCAGCAGGCAGAGGCAGGGGCCACGGATCGTGGTCCCGCGGCGCTGCAGGCGCTGCTGGTTGACCTGGCTTGGCGGCAGAGGCAGCAGCTGCGGCCGCGGCAGGCGGCCAACATCCTGTGGGGCTTGTCCCAGCTGCCCGAGTGGCGCGCCGCCGGCTCAGAGCCCGCGGACGGAGCCACTGCGGCGACGGCGGCAGCGGCAGCGTTGTCCGTGGGTTCAGAGAGCACCGGCAGCTGGCCCCTCGTGTCGCAGCTGTTTGACCGCTGCGCGGCGCTCTTCAGTGCCACAGACTGCGAGCCGCGCCATATGTCTGTCATCGCCACTGCGGCGGCGCGCCTGCGCTACCGGCCGGGGAGAGAGTGGGAGGCGCGCCTGTGCTCGGCCTGGGCTGCCGCCATGCGCGCGGCGCTCGAGGCCGCCGCCGGTGACGCGCGGCGGCGCCAAGCGCAACAGCTGGAGGAGCCGCAGCAGGGGCAGGGGGGTGCGAGTCGTGCGTGGCGGCGGCCGCCGCGCCGGGTGGCGGCGGAGGTGTCCCCTCAGGCAATGGCCAACCTCTTGTGGGCGTTGTTGGAGCTTGAGCTGCGGCCTGGGCGCGAGTGGGTGGAGGGGGTCACCGCGGACGCGGCGGCGCTGCAGGCTGCGCTGTGGGAGCAAGCCAAATCGCAGGCACAACAACAGCAGCAGCAGCAGCAGCGGCAGCAGCAGCAGCAGCAGCAGCAGCAGCAGCAGCAGCAGCAGCAGCAGGAGGGGCTGGCAGAGGAGAAGGGGCTGGAGGAGGGGGCGGGCAACGGGCACAGAGCTGGTGGCCGACAGCAGCGGGAGCAGCAGCATGAGCGCCAGCATTCTGAGAATTCAGCCGGGGCATGGCGGGCAGCGGCGGCGGCGCCGTGGCCGCCCAACAGCCTGTCTCTGTTTGTCTGGGGGCTAGCTGGCCTCGGCTACGATGCTCGAGCAGGCAGCAGCAGCAGCAGCAGCAACAGCAGTAGCAGCACCAGGAGCAGCAGCAGCAGCGACATCTGCACCGGCAGTGGCGGCGGGCGAATGCTGGAGGAGCAGATCCAGGCGACCGTCCACCAGCTGCCTGGCAGGTTCTCTGCGCGCGACGCCGCAAACCTCGCTCTGGGCTGCGCGCGCTCGGGGTTGGCGCTCGCGCCCGACGCGACCGCCGCGTTGCTGCAGGGCGCGGCGCAAGACCTCGCTGGCGGCGGCGGCGGCGGCAGCGGGGCCCGCGTGTGCATGGACGCGGCGGCGCTGATGGTTCAGGCGGCGCACGCAGCGGAGCGCACGGGGGGCCACGCAACAGAGGCGCTGCTGCAGGCCGCATTGCCGTGGGCCGATGCGCTTGCCGCACGCGTGCATGAGTGCAGCGCGCGCCACGCGGCCAACGCGGCCTGGGCGGCCATGCGGCTCGGCCTGCACGCCGCGCGGCCGGCACTGCTGCCAGCGCTGATAGACCGGGCTGCGGCCTCCCTTGCCTGCAGCGGCGATGTGAGCAGCAGGGACGGCAGCGGCGGCGAGGTGGGTGAGGGCAGCGGCGGGGAGCAGCTCACAGCACAGGGGCTGTCGAATCTGCTGTGGGCGGTTGCTCAAGCGGCAGCCCACGAGCCCAGCAGCAGCAGCAGCAGCAGCAGCAGCAGCAGCAGCAGCAGCAGCAGCAGCAGCAGCAGCAGCAGCCAAAAAAGCAGCAGCAGCAGCAGTAGCATGTCGGACGGCTCAGTGAGCTTGGCTGGCACTGCACCCCTCAGCATCATCCGCACCGCCACCACCAGCAGCAGCAGCAGCAGCAGCAGCAGCAGCAGCAGCAGCAGCAGCAGCAGCAGCAGCAGCAGTGATGCCGCGGACGTCAGGCAGCTGGCGGCGGCGACGCAGCGGCTGCTCCGCGCCTGCCCGCAGCTCCTGCCCGGCGCCCGCCTGCACGACACCTCGCAGGCGCTGTGCGCGCTGGCGCGGCTGCACCAGACGGCGCTGCGGCAGCGGCGCAGCGGAGGCACGTGCCGCAACGGCGGCGGCCGGCCTGTTGCTGGCGGCGGGCCTAACGGGGCGCAGGCGCCGTCGTCCCCGCTTTCGCCTTGGCCGTTGCTGGTGCGTGTGACGCCGGCAGCGCAGGTTGGCGCGGCGGAAAGCAGGGCGGCCCCGTGGCAGCGGCTGGATCATTTGGTGAGCAGCTGCCACCACCCGGCCGTCGACGCCTGCATGCTCCAGCTGGCCCGTACACTCCAGCAGCAGCAGCAGCAGCAGCAGCAGCAGCAGCAGCAGCAGCTGCTGCCTGGCAGTGTCGATCAGCAGCAGCAACAGCTGCTGCAGCAGCAGCCGCAGCAGCGTGCGCGCTCGCTCGCGCTCTCTGCCTGGGCGCTCGGGCGCCTGGCGCCGCGCGTGGCGCAGCCTGAGCTTGTGTGGCTGCTGCAGGCCGCGTCGCGGCCGCTGCTGGCCGGCATGGCCCCCTCGGACACCCTGCTGCTGCTCTGGGGCGCAGCCAAGCTGCTCGCCCCTGCGCGCGCGGCAGAGGAGTGGCGCCACCAGCAGCGGCAGAGGGAGCGCGACGCCGGCGACGGCGCTGCCGGTGCCGGGAGCGGGCCGGCGGAGCAGGTGCGGCGGCGGCGTGCTGCTGGCGAGGGCGGCGGCGCAGCGCGAGCTGCGAGGTCGGCGGCCGGGGGCTATGCGACAGCGGAGCCGACGCAGGTGCATTTGCACGACTGCTGGCTGCGAGATGTCTGCGCTTCGCTGCGGCCGCACCTGCGGTCTCTCAGGCCCCGCGACCTGTCCATGCTGCTGTGGGTGCTGGGCGCGCTGAGGTGGCACCCGGGCGGCAGCTTCCTCACGGAAGCCCTGGAGGCTGCGGTCGCGCAGCTGCCCGGCTGCGGCGCGCGCCAGCTGGCGAGCCTGCTCTGGGGCGCCACGCGGCTGCGCGCCCCGGCCGTCGCTGCCGCCGCTGCCGCCGCAGCTCCCCTTCCGCCGACAGTGGAGCAGCAGCCGGTAGCGGACACGGGCGGCGCGCCGCGGCTGGCCCGCAGCAAGGGCGCGGCACGGCTGCGGGAGCTGCTGGGTCAATTGGTTGTGCACTGGGAGACCAAAACGGCATCAGCCAGCCGGGTGGAGCTGGAAATGGCGGTCTGGGCGCTGCAGCGCCTGCAGCCGGGCCGCAGCAGCGCGCGCGCCCCGCGGCGGCGCGAGCGGCGGGGGGTGGCGCTCTCCCGGCGGCGGCGGGGGCGCGAGACGGCGGGCGAGCGGGGCGCGCGGCTGCGGCTGCTGCTGCCGCTGGCGCAATCTTCGCTGCCGCAGCAGCAGCCGCAGCAGGAGCAGCAGCTGCAGCACCAGCACAGCGCGCCCCAGCCAGGCCGCCCACAGCAGCAGCAGCAGCAGGACCTCCCACAGCCCTTGCCAAGGCACAGCCAGCCTCAGACAGCAGCTGCTGCCATGCCCCAGCCGGCCAGCGGCCCGGACCGCCCCACTGCGCCCGAAGCCGAGGGCACCCCAAGCCTGTCGCTGGGGCCGACAGCTGCAGCAGCCGTGGCAATCTGACTGACCTAGGCAGCCCACCTGTGTAACATTGATTGCAGGCTTTAACCATTTCTCCCTCTTTCCACCCTAATGCTCGTACGCCTGAACAGCTGGACCTCACCCTGTCACTATTACTGCTCAAATGCGACCCCCATTCGCATCCAGTAGTCACGGGGCTCGCGTGCCGGCCAGCGGGTGCGTCCGTCGAGCGGGCAGCTGCCATGTAGCTTCAATCAATAGTTACCGTTGTGGGGAGGATGGGGGCGCGGCGCGGCAGGCATCCGAGGCGCCGCAGGGGCTGCGCCGGTCGCTCGCGCGGGGGGCGGTGGGGGCGGCCCCCCTCGCGATCGCCCAGGGAGGCGCCCCTTTGAATGCAGGCAGGCTCGGGACTGCTCGGGCTCGTGCTTGTTCGGTGGGGGTGCGATGTGCTTGTGTCACAGGGTGTGTGAGAGCGTGCGCGCGACTCCATATAGGCAGAGAAGGGTGTGTGTGTGCCGACTGCGAGGCGCGAGCGCGTGAGGCGGCGACCTACCTCGGCCGCGCGTACGGCGGCGGCGATGAGGCATACTGGCTC